AGAAATTATTATAAATAAATTACCAATATTTGTTACAAATTCAATTTAACGTAAACGGTCCCAAAATGCAGGAAATAGCGTTTGAGAGCCTCGCGCTCTCGTGAAATTGGTTTTTCTTACACTTAAAATTAGCCTGGTCGCACCCCTGATGTCCCATACCCATTTAGTTGTGATTTGTTCTGTCTAATACTCTATCATCTGTACAATTCCTATAATAATAGTTGTCATCATAAGAAAAGCTGTACATTTCTTTTAAATTTCTTGCATTAAAGTCATCCGAGGCGTTTTGCTTCGAAGCAGGGTATTAGGGATTTATTCTCCGTCTCATAAATCCACGTGCAGCCAGTCTTGTTCGTGAAGGGGTATAAGGGATTTAGTCTCCCGCTGAGAAATTCATTTCCCTAAAAGGCTGAATACATAGTATTTTATCAAGATCACGTGAACCAATCAGATCTCAGCATTCTGACATAAAGGTACAAATATAAAACACGTCTCGTAAAATGATCAAACTTTTTTTTTGAATTGCATGACTTTATTCCATATGGAATGTATGGAACGTATGAAGGCACTTCACATATCAACCTCAACAATGTCTCCCAACACAGATATACCACCCGAGTAGCGTCCTCGGGGTCGTTTTGTGGATGACTTATAGCAATCTGTGAGTGGATCGAATAATCACAAAAATACGACGAAATATGAAAACCATGCAACCATGTCCCTGTGAGTCCTCTTACATGACTTTTCAGAAAATGTGTCTCCATTGAGAAAATCGGTGGGAATGAAGCCCAGAAGGGTAATCAAGTGTCCCTTCCTTGCCGGTCATAAGCGGAGAATACTTTTAACATGGTGTTTGGCCCGGAGAGCTTGGAATCTGAGGTTCTGCTCTATGTCACTGATGGCCGATAGAGGGTTTGGAGGCACAAACATATGGCCTACACACCCAGGAACATGAGACCTACGACCCAGTTTGGTGGAGGTTTGGTAGTTGCTTGGGGTTGCCTGTCACACGATTGTAAGCTGGATTGTATCACCATCCAATGCAACCTTCAATGGTGATCGGGGGCGGTCGGGTAGCCTAGTGGGTAAAGCGTTCGCTCGTCACGCCGAAGACCCGGGTTCGATTCCCGACATGGGTACAATGTGTGAAGCCCATTTCTGGTGTCCCCCGCCGTGATATTGCTGGAATATTGCTAAAAGCGGCGTAAAACCATACTCAGTCAGTCAGTCAGTCAATGGTGATCGCTACATCCGTAACGTCCTGCAATAATTTGCCGCATTTCCACAACCACCAACCCGACCTGTGTACAGGGATGACAATGCTAGGCCACATTGTTCCCCAGCAGTAACAGCTTTTCTCCAGAATGACACTGTAGCGACTCTGCCGTGGCCTGTCGTGATATCATTAAAATCATATCTAAGTTCTCGCTTCCGCTTAACAAAGCTTTGATTAGCGATAGCGAGAACTAAGATCCGATTTTAATGAGATTGCCATGAGACCTGACCTGAACCTGATGGAGCATATTTGGGACGTCGACATTTTGGGGCATCGAGTACAGGCACTGGACCCACCCGAACAGACTCTGGCCCAAATGGGGGGAGCTCTTCATCGGGAATGGCTGCAGATGCCCAGTCAGCAGATCAGACGACTTACGGGAGGATGAGACGAAGGCTGGGAGCTATCATCTGGTTTACCAGCTATTGCTGATTTGTTCATCATGAATCATGATGTGGAACTGTGTTCCTGACTGCACCTGCATACTTATTGTGGCTACTGTTTGCGCATAAATACAGTGCCGCTGAGTTTTTGTTAGAATCATGATCAAAATGTCAAAACAGGATAATGTTTTTATGTTTTGTTATTGTCAATGGGGTCTTCTTGCAAACCACATTCGTTTTTCCTAGGTTATGGTATTAGGGTTTCAATGCCAACCCTCGTAGGACCGGTCATATTGTAAAATATACAGGTGGTTTGCCCGTGTTTTCTACCAGTCTGATGATGACGGTATAATGGTACCCTGGTTGACGTCCTATATACTTGTGTATGTCATGCCTGTCGAATGAAGTAATACGCCTTCTTTGCGCCTCCGATAACCTTCTTCGTACCATGTTTACAGATGATGCTTCTTAAATGCAAGACGGTGACGTTAAATACCCACAATTGGGTGTACAGATACTGCATTTTAGCAATGCACGGCGGGTTGCATGCTGCACGTGCATGTCGTGCTGCAGTGTGACGTCACAGTTGACATTGTACTGTCCTTTCATTTCAGGGGATATTTCAGTATCAATTATTTCCAGTGGTGCTTAACGTTTGTCTTTGTGTTAGGACTTTTTTCAAGCATTCTCTGGGCACGCCAGAAACCTATGATTGCGGGTTCGAATCCCGGTTCTCCCCGTTAATGTTTCTAGGTTTGTCACCACCATACTCGTGTTTGTTGGTTTCATCGAAGTGGTAAACGTCTGAGACGTGCATCACTTCGGGCTTTCCTCCTACATTAAGTTGACACGCTGTGATATAACCGGAATAATGTTAAAAGCGGCGTTAAACCCAACTCACTCAGGCATTCTCAACATGAATACAAAATGAACTAAATCAGAGGTAGTTAACTTATCGATTCTCTCCTTGCACTCTCGTCAAGTTTTTTCGGGAGAAAAATTCAAAATTCGTTTTTAATCTTTATATAAATACTTGGACACATTATGTCATGACCAGACACGGAGTGCATGAGTGAATAACAATCAAAACAATTCCAGACATATCGGGGCGGCCTGTAAATAATCTAGACTGAACCAGGCAAAGCAGACCATGACGCTAGTCACACATTATTGGCCCCCAATCCTCATCGGTCGTGACGACGCACATTGTATAAGTGAGTGAGTTGGTTTTTATCCCACGTATATCACAGCGTGTCAGCATGATGTGGGAGGAAAGGCCGAAGTGATGCAGGTCTTAGAAATTACCCATTTGGTGGAACTCACGAGCAGGTTTAGTGCTGACAAACCTGAAAAAAAAACTTAATCGAGGCGAACCGGGATTCGAACCCACAATCATAGGTTTCTTACGTGCTCAAGGGACGCAACTTTACACAGCGTTTTGCTGCGCCTTAGATGACTCGGCCACCCTTGACCCAGACACGTATTGGATCCTTGAGCACATTTTGCCCAGACATACCACAGGGTTCAAAACAATGAAAAAAAGACGGATTCCAGGTCGGTGATAGACAGTGGACCGGGGTATTTATTACTTTCCGATTTAAGAATCGGAGTTTAAACCGGAATATTCATTTCAGAATAATTTATGAGAATTAGGAAACAAATAAGTTTTAGGAATTCCACAACCGTTCCTTCTTGTATGAAATATTAACTTTGAGACAAGAATACTATGGAGGAAACATTAACCCCGAACTGTTGACTTTTAATAATATAGCTCCTGTTTACCTAAATGACTAAGAGCGGCGAAAAGCGCTCACTTTACCAGTTAACACAAATGACCTCGTGGGGAGCCGGCTTTGAATACACCCCGGCAACTAGCCTATATGCATGAATATACAACATAACACAATTCCATAAGTTTATAAAAATATCTCATTTTCATCGCATTAATACGTTTATCGTCGTGCCCCTACCCCACCCCTTTGACTTAGGTTGGTTTTGTTTACGAGGCAAAAAAAACCACAATTGAATAATCAAAGTAATTTTGCACCTACACATCATGTGAGAAAAGGCAACAAGTTGGATTTATCAGTGATGGATGAAGGTTGAATAAATGAGAGTTGGTAACTGTACCAATTCTAAATTTCGCGTCAAGGTAGAACAGTTTCCCCAGTATGTGTGCATGAACATGTATTTTTCTTATCAAATTAGATTCATAGTTTCACTTATTCGAGGAGTAGTACTGTATCCGTTCGCGACTCGTATGTAATGTTAGCTTATACACTACAAAGACAATGCCTGTTTTCATATTGTTAGTGTTAGTGTGCATGGACCTGCAAATGTTTGTTTGACTGTGTTAACACGGAGTATAGACTAACATCTAGTCTCTGAAATGAACATACCGTACAGAAAAAAACAGTTGTTCAGTTATCTAATAAAAATATAATAAAAGGGAGCCCAGTGACTCTCTTCATTTCCTGATACTGCAGTAATCTAGACTTGCCAAACATTATAGACTTGCATGGGCTGTATTTGATATATATTTGTATCAGGGTCTTTAAGACAGACTACACGGAGTATTGACGAAAAGAAACAATTCTCTATCGAACAGTATCAACGCACCCAACATACACTTGGTTTAAATCAACAATGTATGAGTGCAAACTTTGAAAGCTGGGCAACTGTATTTCTCGCCCCTATGTCTAGAATAAACCCGGCGTAACTGACTGGCTTATTGTGACGTCATAAAGAAATATATATTATGACGTAAAACATTGTGACAACTGCATTCCCACCCTGGTGATCGTACAGTGCGGATGCAAAATTTCTACCATCTACTGATTCAGAATATATAACGTCGTGCGACAGACATCCGTTATTGCAAGGTAGGTGCGACTGTACTAGCGGACTGGTAGTGTGTTGATAAAATAAGTTTACATATTTGGATGTCATGATATCAATCACTGGATTGTCATGTCCAGACTCCATTATTTACAGACCGCCGTCTGGAATAGTGATGTGTGTGGCGTTAAACGACATACAAACAAAAACAAACGAAAACTTATTAAACTCAAAATAGCTTCAGGAAATTTCCATAATCGCATTTTACTTCACGTGAAGATTGCTCTTTGGTATGCAAAGAAGGGGGAATTAGTCAACATTTGAAAACATAACATATGTGGCTTTAGTAAATTAGTAAAGAAACCAAATTATGAAATGAAAGTAAAACCACACAGATTACATTATTGTCGTATATAGAGTCGACAACATATTTGTTCTGTGACGTAGTATGATTATGACGTCCTCATTGTGCACTACGTCACGCATATACGTCTATGACGTCACGTCATTGTCCTACTGCCACAGTAAGACGGTCGAGGTTCTGAAAACGGGATACTTTTTCACTGGTATTTACCGAAATCTTGAAAGTTAAAGTCAAAGTGATCATCTATATTCCATCTATACCAGCAAGGCACAAGGTAGGTAAATTCAAACATTTTTGAAAGCATATTGCACGAAATAATACAAAACATTACATTGAGTACAACTGTGAGTGAATTGTCTCTGTTCTCAGGTTAGCAACCATGGTTAGCTCCCCAGAGGCTGGGATAGTGCGAACGTTGAAGGTAAGACAAATATGTTTCGTGTTGTTGCCCAAAAGGTTCCACGTGATCATGCTTGTAAGAACCGACTAAATAGAGCATCGGACAGATAACATTGCTCCACATCAGAGTTGAGCCATTGAGTAATCATTCTCATTGGGTTTATTATATTTTTCTATGGGAATTCAATATGTTTTACTGCCATTGGTCCAGCCTATTGTGTATTTTGAACCAATGTATATGAGACATATTTTAGAAAATAATTACTCTTGAAACTCTTTTTCATAAGACTTTTAATTTGTATCTGTCCACGTGTTCCCCAAAATGTGTTGCATAAGTTGACAAAAAATAGCGATACATGTCAAAGCATGTTTGTGCATTATTCACTGCAGTTTATGCATGTAGTGCCTGCATCCAATCAACGAATAATAATGTGCGGATAATTATGCACATTGCTGGTGCAATTTTGGGGTGTTTACAAAATTTTAACTTGTATTTGTACGCATTTCAAAAATAATTGGTTAGTGGTGAGTTTATTGGCCTATTTCACGCAGATGCGCGGCTGATATGAGGCTATGTGTGTGATCTGATGAATCGAGTGTAATTGTAGTCCGACAACCTCGATCATTGTTCGTTCAATCAACCATTTGTCAGCCCCAGACTCGGATATGTATATTTTCTCAATGTAGCTGGAAACAACCGCAAACTAGATTCAAATGAACGGCTACAACAAGGATGGATAAGTGTCTACTTATTTTCTTGAATCAAAATTTATTTAAGAATTAAACGTATCAAACTACTGTATTCCTGACATGTATACCATAGGGCCCTGTAACCGACATATGTCTTTTGTTATCAGGAAGAGAGAGACAAATTCGCCTGCCAGTTTGGCAGCCTGGAGAAGTATTTGACAGAAGTCCGTGAAGAACGTGTTGCCATGAACAGGCACACGAAATCCTACAGATCCGGTGAGCGCATTCACAGGACGGACCGTAGCTTTCTGATTGTCTTTGTATTTACATTGAGGCCAGACCTTTTATTCTTCCTTTACGAATGAGCCTGCTTAAAATAACACAAAGAAAATGAAGCAATACAAATGCTTGTTCTAACATCACTTTGCATGATTTTGTTTTCTCAAGAAGGAAAATAACGATTTCCATGTACCTACAATGAAAATTGCTTCACCGATTAACTACATTCGTGTTGCACATGTATGTTATAGTGTGATTACAAAGCGAGGATTTACAGTTTGCTACGGAAGCCTCATAGGGCCATCTGTATCGAAAAACAATTAAAAGAAAAATGACCCTAAAAGGCTTCCGTAGTTTGCACACGGGTTTTACCTTTATTTCCCCATAAACGTAAAAATATATAGAAGTCAATTCTTAAATACTAGTATACAAACATACATGATATATATTATTGTGCAAAATTTCAAAATATAATCTCAATATTTTTCACTTGCACAGAACTTGCAGGTCTAGGTAGTTCTCAACAGGAAAAGCGCTTGAAAGGAATCGAGTCCAGGCTTCAAACACTTCGAACCAAGGTAAGGCCAGATTTTTTCCCTGCATATTTCTTTGTTTAAGAATGTTGATAGTGAGAAAATTGGTCGGTAGATTGAAAAAAAAGTATTTATAAAAATGAAATACATTGTAAAGGATTTTGTTAATCGTTTTAAAATTTGATTTGGACCGGTGGGTGATACAAAAAAATAATCCTGGCCTGGTATATAAATATAATAATATGACAGCGGCATTTCTTTGTATTATTGTCCGTAAGCAATGTAAAATGTAAGGCAAAAGCTGTCACTGTTATGCCTATGATTCTGATAATGCTAAAGAAGCTATCCACGAACGTTATTTTCATTTTAAAAAGGTCGTGGTATATCCTATTCAGAAAAAAACCAGATAAATTGAGAATCGGAGGCAGACAGGTCGCGATGCATTTGTCATATATCTTGTAAAATAAGAGTCGGGTGGCGACCTGGTCGATAGTGTTCCACGGTACCCGATGACGCAGGACAACGTTCCAGACGCCGATGTTACTATACGTCGTGTTTCATAGATAAATTATGTTGAATTGCCGCATCATTCATTGAGATCTTCGGAGATAGATAATAGTTCTGAAAGAAACCAGAGCGTCATCAATCGCCGGCCTTTTCCTTGCAGTCGAAAAGCATCAGCTACCAAGGGAGACAACTGTTGGCGTCCATGGAGAAAGAGCTCTGGGAGATGGACCTTTACATCATCAGACGCAGCAAACATAACTTTGGGGATACCAAGGTGGCCAACACGCCCGAACAGCCCTGCCTGCCTCACCCTGACAGTCCACGAACTCCTGGACAGGAAATGCTCGCTGTCACCCTCGGTACCAAAGGAGACATCACTTGTAACCTTGATGTCAAAGTCCAGAAACAGCCAGCTGAGGTAGTTACCGTATTTCCTCAAATAATCTCATTTCCCAACTGTGTGGGTTGCAGATTTTAATGGAGGCTTACAAATCAGTCTGTAGTTTATTAATATGTAATGTGTATAACTTAATTTTGTTTGGAAAATTAAATTTCTAATGAGGGAAAAAAACAGAGCCGAGTTTTTAGTTTTTACAGGCTGAGCCTTAGATAAATTAGGAACTTGAAAAGTAACTTATAAGTCCTTTGAAGATGAATAAAATCACATAAGTTGATATTTCCATCAGTTGTCAGAATATTATTCTTGTATTCGTCAGACTTTGGCTGGACCACTGAAAACAGTCCATTCTATCAAGGTGGATTCCAAAATGAAGAATAGCCTTCTCCAGACACCACAGACAGATCTCCGTACACAGCTTGTAAGTATTCTTTCATTTGTGAGCCATTTTAACTTTTCCTTGTTTTCTTTCATATAATTTGCTAAAGTAAATGTAATTTGAAAATGCTGGGTTTCTAAATATGATTTTTGTTATGTTCCTTCAGTGCAGAACATGCTTACTGTTTTTATGAACACGGGGTCATAAATGATTTTCAGTGATCTATTCACCATTATTTTGCTTTTTACACACAATGGAATCTATACTATTCAAAATAAGTTAAGGAAGACCTGATTTTTTCACTATCTGTAATCGGTCATGACAGAAAATATTGGGTGTTCTTTAAATTGTTTTGAGTAGAGTGAGTGAGTATGGTTTTACGCCGCTTTTAGCAATATTCCAACAATATCACGACGGGGGACACCAGAAATGGGCTTCACACATTGTACCCATGTCGGGAATCAAACCTGGGTCTTTGGCGTGACGAGCGAACGCTTTAACCACTGGGCTACCTGACTGCCCCTTGTTTTGAGTAGTCACTGATGACCTGGTCTTCAGCAACCCATATGCTTGTTGTAAGAGGCGACTAACGGGATCGGGTGGTCATGCTCGCTGTCTTGGATGATACATGTCATCATATCTCAATTCCGTAGATCGATGCTCATAATGTCAAACACTGGATTGTCTGGTGCAGACTAGAAAAATTTCCAGACCGTCGTCATATAGCTGGAATATTGCTGAGTGAGGTTACAAACAAAACAAAACTTATGAGTAGTATATTTCAGCAGATAATAGAGACTGATTATTCTCTGGTCATGACATATCATATTTAATTTTGCCTCACTGACCAAGAAACTCTGTAATGCCAGAATTTAAACATCATGCTATAGTATCTTTGTGTTGACTGTCAATGTAAACATGCATTTCTAGCAAAATATAATGTTTGTCCATTGGACCTTCAAATTTCCTTGCATACCTCAAGATAAGGGGATAGTGGACCAAATGATGATGGTGAGGTGGTGAGGTGAAATGGGGTTTAACGTCGCGTCCAAGATTATTGCACTTTTATAGTGACGTGCATGCACGTGTGTGTGTGTGTGGCTGCTTGTACTAGTCCGGACTGATGCCGATTTATAGTGCTAGGTCACTGAGATACCATGCCGCAGTTTAATATGAATACCCCACTCAGACACAGTATACTGACTCCGAGCCGACCAGTCCTTGTTTTAGCCCTTAACACCGAGCACCAGACAGGGTAACAACAAGTACCATCTTTTAACGTCTTTTGGTATGACGCGATCGGGGATCAAACCCTGGACCTTCCGCTCTCCGGGCGGACGCTCTACCACTAGACCACGGAGGCAGTCAAATGATGATGGGAATACATCTATCACTGTTATGAATATGATAGTGTTATAGAACATGAGCAGCCATATTGCCAGCATCTTCCCATGGCAAGAGTGCTTACTAGGCTGTTTATCAAAGTCTCTTAGAAACTATAGGCTTTGATATAGGACACATTTATGTATGGATGTATTGCCAGAATCTTCATCTGTTATATCTATAGGCCCTAATGGGTGTGTTGTCATGACTAAAGTGTCCTGAACATATTCTATTCAGGAGGAGAGAGACAGATTTGGTTTTGAGTTTTCCCAGTTTAAGAAGATTTTGGTGGAGATACGTGAAAAACGAATTTCATTCAACAAGCAGATAAAGATATTGCAGACTGGTAAGCTTGCTCTTGTAATATTGAATTCATTTAAAAGTTCCATTTAATTTGATTCTTACTCATGGATAAATGTTTTAAGATGCGACATCTCATTCCATTTTCCCTCTTCAGACATTGCAGCCCTACCTAAGGTGAGACAAGACACCAGGCTGAACAGTATCAAGACAAAAGTGACCGCATACCGGAACCAGGTAGGTTTTGTTTTATTGCTTGTCTGTTGTAGGTTGTGGACTATATTTAATTTTAAAGGGATCACATTTTGGCTAAGTAATTGCATGGATGGTATATATACAATCAGGTTTTGTCTTCTTATAGCTTATTTTGGGTGAAGACGAGAAGAGAATGGCTGAACTTGATATTGACTGATTTTTATCAAAGTTATCAAATTGTTTTTTGCAATGTCTTGATTTACAAATCTTTGCTTTTGGACCAATGTGCCAGCATATATTTTCTGTTATTGCAGTCTAAACGCCTCAGCTATGAAGGGAGACAACTGCTGGAGTCCATGCAGAATAATCTTTGGGACATGGATCTACACATTATTCGAGAAAGTGGCCACTGCAACAATGATGCCAAGAAACAGGTTCCGCCTTCGAAGAACTGCCTACCACATCAAGTCGCTACCTCTGACACATCTGTTGTAGACAAGACATGGAGGCCCAACGTTTCCAAAGCTGCAAATGATGAAGGTGTCAATAGAGGAATGAAGTCTTCCACAACATCTGCAAGATCTGTCAGACCAACAAGGAAAAGAAATGCCACCATTGCAAGCCCAACTTCATGCTCCAGTACAGTGCTGAAGAAGCCTCTGTTAGCTCCAAGCCTGGCGAAACGGGTGAAGAAAAAGAAGGGTATGACAACTGTCACCAATACAAGCTTTACTTCATCCTCCAGAGACAAGCCTACAACTTCTGGAAACCAGGTACCGGACAGGCCAACAGAGAAAGAGGTCATGATGGTGGAAACTAAAGCAAGCCACAAGACTTCTCGTGACACCCTGAAGAAGTCTGATCCTTCAGCTTCTGCCATCCATATCCATTTGACACAGAAGGTCAATCCTACTGCACTCAATGCAAGCCATGTTTCTTCTCAAGGCACCTTTAGGAAGTCAGACCACACAACGCCTGCAATCAAAGTGAAGCTGACAAAGGAAAAGCCCATGACTGCTGCCACCAATGCAAGCAACAGTTCCTGCTCTGGTGATGACCTGAAGAGGAAGTCCGATTCTGCTGCCATTCAGGTCTGATTATTTACACAGAATGTGCCATTTAACAAGAAATAAACAAAAAAGCATACAAGATTGACAAAACTAGAAGTTATATACAGTCAAGTCCTGTAATCCGACATTGTTGGTTGCATATGATTATGTCAGATTAAATAGGTAGTATCAACGTTCGTGATCGAAAATTGGACAACTTTCTAAATACTTTTTAAAGCATAGTCTGGAATGGAAGTCGCTAATTGAAACTAGTGCCTCAATGCTTAAGAAAGCTGCTTTTTTAGTGGCTAATGTCGACTTCCTGTTAGTAATTTCATTGGTCGGTCAAAGATCGCGAAAGGTCGTTCTGACGTGACCTGTAATGGGATGTCCTCAGCGATAGCGAGAACTTGTATCCGATTTTAATAAGATTGAGGTAATCTAGACATGTGATTAATCCTGTTTTGTTTATTTAAAGCAGTAATTGTTTATTATTAAGCAAATTTATCTCTGCAGCCGTTGAAATATGCAGCTACTCACCGACTTGTCTTGCATCAAAACGCGGGCAGATGACCACGGAGTACACTGATCACTGTGTCGGATTAACGAGACTGATTAATGAGTGATTTCAGCAATTCGTTGCATTAGGTGTGTCGGAGTCGGAGTGCGAGACTGTCGGATTAACAGGTCTAAATAGCACTGATTAAATCAGTTCCCATTATTTGTGTTGGATAAAGCCGATTGTCGGATAAACGAGTGTCGGTTTAACAAGACTTGACTGTAATACAAAATGAGATAGATTGATAGGCTATCCTTGGTGCTGTTCCTAGCATGTTACATTCATCAGTGGTATGGAAGCAAGTTGTGTATACACCGTACAACTGAATCTCAGAGTTATTGAACGAGAATTGTGTTCCAGACGATGCCCTGTAAAGCCGCCACACTGAGACCTGTCACAGCAGGAACCGGAGATTCCAGGAAGATGAGCTTGCAGGAGGCACGGACCGTTCTTCAGATCCTTCAGGTGAGACGTTCGTGTGATCCACAAATAGTATTGTACCGAGAACATGAGAACGGTGTGGACCATGGGTTGCTGAATGTTTATGCCACAGCATCCCATCCATATCATGTTGCCAGTAAATTATCAAGTTGTGACACGGACCAATGGTTAAGAGCGTTATCACGACCAGTATGGCGTACTTTTGACTGGAGCATTGTCCATTTTATTATGATATTATTTAATAATGTCTCAAAGAACCTTACACAAGCAAACAAAACCGAATACAACAAAAGTAAAATTGAAACATTGTTTAATAAAAGTAATAAAATAGTATTATGCTTTTGGAACACAACAATTTTTTAATTTATATATATATAAATGACATATAAATGATGCATCAACTATTCTTAAATAAACAGATAAAGTGCACGAAAAAAATTAAAATGAAAAACATTGTTCCAAAAATGTGATAGAGGTTTTTATGCATTCGGAACACGAGGGTGAAGAAAACATTGTCTGGGGTATTTTTATTAATATTTTATATTTTTTAAAGTACACGTTTTGTGTTGGGGTTTTGGTGTTGGGTTGGTTTATCAAATTTTGAAATAGGTTCAATATATTTTGCTGTAGGGGTGTTGGGTAGCCTAGTGGTTAAAGCATTCGCTCGTCACGCCCCAGACCCGGGGTTCGATTCCCTACATGGGTACAATGTGTGAAGCCCATTTCTGGTGTCCCCCACCGTGATATTGCTTGAAAATTGCCAAAAGCGGTGTAAAACCATACTCACTCACTTACAATTTTGTAGATGAAGCTAACATGAATAGAATAAACAAAATTTTGAGACAAGTGTAGATGTTTCATAATACAAGATTTCCATGATTCTAGTTCCATGCATTTAACTATATATTCAAGCAACCAGATTGTGAAACAGACAGAACATCCATATCTTGTGTTTGTGTTAAAGATGCAGCATGACCTTTTGGTGACCTCTATGGGTGGTATCCGGTTAGAACTGGACCTGGGGCAGCAGGAAGACTGCATCTGGCGGAGTACGATGGATGAGCTGGACACAGGTAGACAGATCACACAGTGTTTGATGTTCTTTTCAGGAACAGGTGATTCCTCAAACACATCACCCTTGTCGAGATACTGGTCTTCTGCAACCCATGCTTGTTGTTAGAGGCGACTTAAGGGATCGGGTGGTCAGATTTGCTGACTTGGTTGATGTCATCATATCTAAGTTGTGTTGAGCAATGCTCATGATGTCAATTACTGGATTGCCTCCTCCAGACTCTGTTTTCAGACCTCCATCATATTGCTGGAATATTGCTGAATGGAGCATTAAACAACCAAAAGGGAATAGTACAGAATTTAATGAATTTCTTTCAAATATGCAAAGTTTAGGTGCCTTAGAGAATTATAAGAGGTAATTTCAAACATACTTAAGAAGCCCTACATTGTTAGGCTTAAAAAAATAACAGAATTGGTTCTCAATCAGTGACTTAAAAAAATATATAGAGAGGGTGGGCTGTGTTTAAACTAGTATGAAACCAAATAAACAATTGTCCATCAACCTGGGAAAGGGCCTCCCTACATAACAAGCATTCAAACTCCTATTGCCGCCATGACCAACACACGAGATGTGCAGTAAAGCAGTGTGCATGTTAAGGGAAGTAACTGCATGGTACATTGCATTGGATTATTTTTAAGTATTAGGATTTTAATTTGGGGGAGGGAAATGGAAATAAAAGCAAAATGTGCAACAGACTTTATGATGATGTGGGTGGTGCCTGAGAACCAAGATGATTATTTTTTTTCGCCTTACCAAAGTTTCCAATTTGCATGGATTCAATTCTCTTTCTGTGACACTGCACTGTTGTTTTATCACACCAGAGTTGCACCAGACGAAGCGAAGCCCCAACAACCATCGGGTGGCATCACTGCGGGCAAAGGCCACTTACCTGAGAGTGCAGGTAAGGGCATACATAGTTTCCTTAAATGAGGAGGAGTTATTTGAGTGAATCAAAGTGCAAAGAATTTGTAGTTAATAATCGCAATGCAGTCATCAGGTCTTGTGGGGCGGTCGGGTAGCCTAGTGGTTAAAGCGTTTGCTCGTCACACCGAAGACCCGGGTTCGATTCCCGACATGGGTACAATGTGTGAAGCCGATTTCTGGTGTCCCCCGCCGTGATATTGCTGGAATATTGCTAAAAATATTGCCATCGGGTCTTGTATTTTCTGAACACTTCTACCTCGTTAACTGTTAGTGTTTACATGTATAGCCCGTGGAATCATTCTTGTGAGGGTGAGGTGAGGTGAGGTGAGGTAGGGTTTAACGTTACAAGATTTCTGCACTCATATAGTGCTGTGCATGCACATGTGTGGGGGGCTGTTTGTACTAGTCCGGACTAATGCCAATTTAATAGTGCTCGCCCACTGAGATACCATGACGCAGTTTAACATGAATACCCCACTCAGTCGCAGTATACTCACTCCGAGCTGACCAGTCTGATTCTGCTCCTTAATCCTGAGCGTCAGGCAAGGTAAAAACAAATACCATCTTTTAATGTCTTATGGTAGGCCAGGAGATCAAACCCCCGACCCTCCGCTCTCTTGACAGACACTCTATCCACTAGACCCAGGGCCAGGTTGTCAGTCAGACCACGTACATGTTTGGGTAATCTTAAACACCTTATGTCATGGACACTTTGCAACACAACTTGATACCACAATATCAATTGTTTGTTTCAGATGTCAACTCTGTCACTCCGGGGGAACGTCTACCTCACCAACATGGAGCGGGTCATTGCCCACCTGACATGTGTTATTAGGGGGGTCAGAAGCAAGATAATGGCTGCCTCTTATCTTAACACCTGAGTCACGATCTCAAGCAGATGTTGTGTACATGTGTACAAACTTTCAAGTGTAAACATTGTAGTCTTAGGCTTAAAAAAATTAAAGAATAGGTTCTCAAGCAATGGCTTTTGAAAATATAGTGCGACTGTTTTTTGGGGGGTTGTTCAAGCTAGTATGTAACCAAATTTTGTTTACAATAATTTCAGCAAAATCCTGTTGTTCTTCTTAATTATTGTAGCATTTCACGTGTGTTGGAAAAGCGAAATATTTTAAGATTTCTTTTTTGAAAATGGAAATAAAACCGAAACGTACGGTGGACTTTATGATGATGCGGGCGGTGCCTGAGAACCAAGACTATTTTTGTTTTTGTCTTACAATGTATGCCATAAATACAGATCAAGGATTCTTGATATTCCATTTCATATTTTTTGTTGTTGGTTTCTGTGTGTAAACATATATCAGTGTCTCATTGTTTGTAAGGGTCATTGTAAATTATGTAATATATTTGTATATTAGTTTTGTTGATTATGATAATAAATGTAAAATATATAATTTATGAATTGCTGCATGTCTTTATTCCTCATTTGTTCTGGTGTGTGTGAAACTTCGCAAAAATCATTCTTATGGCTCTTCTCTGTGCGTATTGACCGCAGTAGGGACCAAGGTTAGAAATGTTGAAGCATCCGTTGAAGCATGCACTAAGTGCTAAGACCATTATTACTGCAGTCAATAGATCAGTGTACACACATTTTGTTCCTTCTCAGCTCCCTGGGGAGTATACAACCCAAGCAAGCTAGGTGCTAGAAGGTTATCCGTCACGTAACCATCTCATCCTACTGGGTACCCATTCACTGCTGGGTGAACAGAAGCACATTTTGAACAAACTCCTTTGCCCAAGGAGACACCACATGTGACATGTGCTTCAGTGTGGGTCAGGACTGAACCCCTAGAAACTCTCAGGAGACAAGCCGCCAAACATGGTCACCCTTCCAACTACTCTCCGAGACCAAAGTTGTTTAGCTTCACCTGATATGTGCCTTGCATGCTGTACACAGGACCATGCGCCACCACAAATGACTGTACTCCATTCCTGAGATTGATTCCTAGACAATATCACTTGAATCAGTAGCATCCACACTGACAGTATAACATTAATTACCTGCTGTAGGTTAAGAGTGAGTATGGTTTTAGGCCGCTTTCAGCAATATTCCAGCAATAGCATGGCAGGGCCAGGCACACCAGAAAATGGGCTTCACACATTGTACCCATGTGGGGAATCAAATCCTTGTCTTCTGCAAAAGCAATTGCATTAATCCAAAGGCTACCCTATCACCGTCAAGAAAGAATGAGTTGGGTTTACCTCTCTTTGAACCGTATTTCAGCTACCGTATTCGACGTAATAAGCGTCCCGCTCTAATATGCGCCCAGGGTGATATTGTCTTATATACTGGCTAGTGAACAATCCCAATTAGCACCCCTCCGATTGATCAATGTACACAAGACTTATTTTTTTGTGTATAATACGCACTCGTGTGTTATATGCACCCTTAAGTATGGGCAATTAAATTCTGGAAAATATATCTGTATAATACGCACAGACATTTCTTTTGTATCATTTCAGGCTGTCAGCATAAACCACAAAATTTACGATCTTTCAACTCTGTTTTTATTTCTTATCAAAATTATATTCTAATAAGTGCCCCCTATTTCTAATTTTGAGGGCGCCCTGGGTGCTTATTACGTCGAATACGGTATATATCATGGCATATCAGCTTAACGTGGAAGGAAAGCCCGAAGTGACACAGGTCTCGATCGGGATGAAACCCATGAACACAGGTATGGTGCTGAGTGAGTGAGTGAGTGAGTGAGTGAGTGAGTGAGTGAGTGAGTGAGTGAGTTACGGCACTTTCAAGCAATATTCCAGCAATTTCATGGCGAGGGACAGCAGAAATGGGCTTCACACCCATGTAGGGAATCAAACCCAGGTTTTATGCGTGATGAGCGAATGCTGTAACCAGTGGGCTACCCGACCGTCCAGAAGCATAATGTAAGGCAAGAAGGACAACACAACAAGGTAGAAGGTTTAAATACAATATATTACATTTATTGCTGATACAATTATCTATAATTCACATAATCAATAGGTCACATTGTATGGTCAATCAGACAGTGTTCAGCATCGCCCAGATTAAAGTTCAGTGAAGGGACTCTGGAGGCCCAGGGTAGTCACCATGTTGAAAACCAGCATTAGAAAAGTCACCTTAGTGTATACTGAGTAATAAAACAGTAGTGAAAAGTAGCTGGTCACTTTCATAAAATAACTTGTTTGGCACTGTTAAAACCGATTTCCTCTTGAGAAATATGACTGCAGAATCACCCTAACATGATGAAATTGTTTATTATTTACATATTTAAAAGTGACATGCTGATGGAGTCCATACGTTGATCACAACATGCAGACTGTGCATCAGTAATGGAAGACAATTGGGAAACAAACATCAGATTTTGCCAGTTGTGGATGTAACACATCTCATAACTTCCCCCGATATCTAACGAGTCACAGTTCCTCAACGAGGGAAGTTTACGAATTTCATAATTTCTTGCAGTATTAACACTCAATTATTGATAAATTTGTAAAATATCTGAAAACTGTCACAAAAAGTACTTTGTAACTGAGGAATATAATTTATGCATGACTTCTTTTGGTGATATAGCTCCCCGAATATTGGTAATTATGCTGTAGTTCCTGATATAGCTATACCACTGATGAAAAGACAATTTTTCAAAATCCAACAAAAGAAGTTCAAGTTTCTGTGGCAACCCTCGACATTTGTAGTAAAGTGAAAAGTTATATATTCTTTGTACTTTTTATGTGATTGGAGAGAAACTTGCTGCCTTTTCTGTGCCAAATAATGTAATGTTTACAGGCACCTGCGTGTTATTATTTGTGCAACCTCAAGGCTTCTCTGATAACATTAAAGTTATCTGACAGAACACAGAAATTGGAATTGTATAATCGGTGCTATTCTGTTTTTGTGATTAAAATTATTTTGTTAACCATGTGCTGGGTCTAATAAAATAATATCAAAATAATCCCTCAGATATAAACTGAACAGACAAAATATAATTATTTGATGTATGTTCAGTCACATATTTCATAATGTGCAGCGACTAGTGTCAGAACTGTCATTGTTTTGAGTGGTAAACGGAATAGAAAAAATATGGCAGAAATATTATTCTGTGAAACATTAAATTACCACTGAGAGAAACTGATATGATATCTTACAGTTTCCGACGACAGACCCAAATGTTTAAATATGATGTTAATTCATTCTAGAATAGTAAAAATATCAGTACATTTAAAAGATGGTATAATCTGTATATATCCCGGTACACTGAGAAGGCAGAACTAAATGCATTATAATTTGAACAGGGTAAATATTTATACCACTTCATAACAAAATGCTGGTAACAAAAGATAAATAATTAGAACAGAGGTACAAGTTTGTAGGAATCTGGTGATAATGTACGCCGGATGTAACATCTGGTTGATAAAACCACTAAAATCACATAAAAACGTAAGGTCGTTATAACTCAATTCAACACAAAACAGTTGACTGTAGGGTTTTCAGCTAAGGGCACAATACACAACGTTTGACCACGGTCAGTACTGTAGCTCCATCTGCAGGACTCCGGACTAACAGTTTATGTTGCATTGTGACCACTGGATACAAACGTCACAACCACTTTTCGTTTCTGTACAATTGTTCTTTTCAAAATGATGTTATGATCATGATGATGTTGCTATGAAAATGCAAATGTTGCTATGAGAATGCACTTTTTGCCGCAGGGGTGGGTCCGTGTTTGGACTCATCAATGGCAATTTCGTCTTCATCAGTCATCACTGTAACTAGGGAGCCGACAGCCTTCCCGACCTGCCCTGCCATATGGAACAGGTTACCCACGTTGTTGGCACCTGCAACAGAAGGGAAGATAATCAACGGCTCAACTTAGTCAACAACCACTAAAAAATTGACTGTGAATGGGTTTTGAGGACAGAAAGCAATATTTCACCTATATTAGATCTCTACAAACAGACTGATAACCTAGACAAATTCCAGAAAAAAAATTTCTATCCAGTATTTTTTAAAATAAATCATGTTTTGCAAACACTGACCCACAACAGTACAACATGAAACCTGAAAACCCCAAGATGTGTGGATTTCAACTTTTTCCCTGATGAAAGAGCAAGAAGTAGCCTTGAAACATGGATAAAGAAAATGAAATCCATATTTCTTGCGTCACTTTGAACAACGTTTTTGATAAAAACATAATTTATTTCTACCATTTATTAGTTTCCTTTCTCTCCATTGCTTGATAATCTAACCTATGATTATGAAACAAATCTTAAAAAGGCAAAGTCTAAGAGGAATATCAGTTCTCACTTAAATCCATATATACTACAGTAAAATACGTTTATAACGAACATGCTTATCACGAACTGACAGATATTACGAATTTTGGTCCCGGACATTTGCTGTATAGATATTGTATATATGCTTATAACGAACTACAGTTATAATGAACTAAAATTAGTGGTCCATTTGAGTTCGTTATAACCTAGTTTACTGTACTCAAAAGAAGTTAAAGAACACTCAATGTTTTCATATGGCTATAACAAGGCCATGACGGATTAACTATAGTCATATTAAAATAATCGGGTGGTCTTTAGTATCACTAATAGAATAGTCTGTTATGGTGTCTTACCTTTTGACCTGTCTGTGTTAAAAGATGCATTTGGTTCCCCTGAGAAATCACAAAGCTCCTCCTCTCGACTTGTACCTGACAAACAGACAAGTCGACCACATGTGATGAGAAAAACCCCAAGGGGGACAACTCTTGTAGACCAAATATCCAAATCTCAACAGATCAATGTTTACAATAAGTCTATGAAGCAACTGTATGTCTTATAAATTTATTTCTTTTTGATAATTTACCGTAGCTGAGATAAGTCATCTTTGAAAATGTGAATAATTTTCCAATGTAGACTTCACCCTGCCTGTTTCAAGGTGTACTGTGTTTAATAGCTATAGTCTGGAAGGTAATTTAAGGTACCGACGTTTACTACAATATCTGAAAAACTATCAGACCTACTCCAGTCAAAGTTGGTATGAGATTATTAAACAATCATACATAACTGGATATTACATTTAAAGACAATCGGTGCATGAATAAAAAATCTGTCTATTTAGCTATCACTATAATTCATCAACAACCAGACCTGTTCGTCACGGGTGGAACGAGCATTCATTGAAACAGCCATCTGCATAATGCTACCCCTGCGTCACAGGGCCATATGACACAGTTGAACCAATCAACTCAACTCGAAAGGGTGCACGGGAATCACTCACGTTGAGACGCCCAATGCTAACACCGTATTCGTGCGTGCGTGATTCCTGTGCACGCTTTTCAACATTCAAGTTTATAACCCCATAATATACAGAATAAAATAAGTCATAAGTATGTTTGGGGTGTTTTTTTTATGAAATTGTGTGCTCAGGCTTAACTACAAAAATAATATCACCAAACTATTCGTGATCCCTAACTTTCTTTTTACAGTATATACAGTATATATTACCAGCTGCATATCCGTTGCCATTGATGATCCTGGGCGTGGACTCCAGCTGGGGGTTGAACCTGTACCGAGGGGGCCCCCCAGGCAGAGAGCTGATAGAAGAGGAGGGTGTGGTCATTGGGGTTGTCCGTGACGATGAATTGAGTGACAGCGGTGTGCGGGGCTCTCCTGGAGGCTGTGGAAACAAGTTCTTCTCAATTAGGCCTCAACTCTTAGTTAATGATGCTGTTTTATTGCTGGTGTGCATAGAGAAAATAACAGGTGATAATCCTATTATTCCATGATGCAACCAACTGATTGCTTGATAACATACGTTATTAGTATGAAATATCAAGTATTCCAAACAGGGGTATATAATTAATAAACTCAACCAGCATGATAGTGTAGTAAATAATGGACTTGAATAGTTGCTGAGAGTGTATGGAGGACAGCAGCCTTGTAGACCACCATTAATATCATATGCACTTCATATGCAAACAGCCTGAGGGGGATTGTTGTGACTCCCCCCAAAATAAAAAATAAAAAATAAAATAAAATTTAAAAAATTAAAAATAAATAAAAATTATTAAAAAAAACCTAACAAGTGTAGTATGTTGTAGGCAGTAAAATGACAGAAAAGATTTTGATATTTTGGACCCCTCCCTTTTTTAAATGCCAAATCCCCTCTTGCTACTTTAGGGCTTTATATGGCGTGTTGTGTTAAGCCGATTGCTTGTGTTTCCTTGTAATACCTCAAGTGAATGTGTAAGTACTATAACACAGAGCATACCAACAAGGGGAGATAATCATGTTGTTAATCACAACAACATTCATTTGGCCCAAGTTCACCTTTACTACTTATCAACAATGGCAGAAACATAAACTTGTCTTCTTGAAGGTGTATGTAAGAGTATCAAACTAGAAATCAAGGGGAGATAACTGACCTGGTCGAGCAGTTGTCGTAGACGGTGTAGCTGTGCCTCTAGTTGATGGTTGTGGTCTTCTAGTATCCTCATCCGTGCCTCCAGACGACCTTTGTGTTGCCGTAACAACTTTGCCTCTGCAATCATCTCCTCGTCCCTACTTGTGTTGCTGTCTCCATCTTCTGACCGGGCCATGCTGCCCTCGTGAGCGTTGTTGGCTTGGCGCAGACGGTCATATTCAACCTGTAGTGTTCTGTGAGAGAAACAGTATTCCATGTCATGCAATAGGAATAACAGGAAATTTAAGAAATGAGAAACAACATGAATAAACTATAACATAACAAATTGTCTTCATATTTGCCATTGAAATTGCTGAGTTAAACATACTGTCACACATCAGGATAAATCTCAAATGCAGTGTTAAATACTAAGCCCAGGTCACCAAGCATTGTTCTGACAATGTGGCTACGTTACATTTGGGGAGGTTGGCAGTCACAATTGTTGAGGTGGCAATTGCACTAGCTGTATCACATATTGATGATGATCGGGTATTGGTAATTACAACAGCTAACCAGGGGCCCTCAATCACAAGTCATCCTCCCTAGAAACGTCCTTAACAACATTTGTTATTCGATACTTTTCCATCCATTATCTTATTCTCTAAGAACCATCCCAGCGCAGCCATTTTGACCACTGAGTCCCCATTGTATTTTACAAGCATGGCTGTGGGTCCATATTATCCCAGAACGCAACAATTATTGTTTAACAATCAATACGTATACAGATCAACATCATATCGATGTGCCTACCTGTTTTCCTCTTCTAGATCTTTGATTAATATTTCCAGCTCCGACTTCTGGTCTGAATCCACTGCCATCATGATCTGCATTGGGCTCTTCAACTGTAACATAAACACCAACCTGTACACCCCTATCACCACAGTGGACTCCCTCTACAAATATGGCCACCACTTGTCGGCAATAATGATAACATGATAGTCAAAGAATGGCGGAACTGAGGCAAGAGGCAAGGTTACTCAAACTGATAGTCCAATTCTTGGCCCAAGTTCACCCCACATCCAACCCTCTGCAAAGTTGCGTCCCTTGGTTTGCCCTGAGTGTTTCTAGGTTTGTCAGCACCAACATCTGAGATCTGCATCACCTGCATTCCTCCCACACTAAGCTGACATGCCATGTTATAGCTGGAATACTGTTAAAAGTGGCATTGATCCCAATTCCCTTCCTCACTGACTACAACTACCACTACAATTAATTGTTCACATTTGTACAAACTGTATGAAATTGCACAGTTCAAACATATCATGAAGAAATTATCAAAGTCATTATACTTTGAAATCAAATAAATAACAGTTTACTGATTGAATGCAGCATGAACAAAGATGGTTAACTTGAGCAAACTGAAGTAATCAAGGGAGGTCACTCCCAGCTGGACTGCTAGCTCTGTATGCCATCATTAATCATATCCAGATTCTGCTGTGATAAATCCAACTTTTAGTGAAACCTTGGCCTAAATTAGCCATCAAGTTTCCTGCAGACAAGCAGGGAGAGTACACGTATCCAGTGCATGTTGTAAAACCTAGGCAGATCGGCTCAGCTGTGTTCGATAAGCTGGCACTATCAACAACCATTAAAAACGCTACTTAACGTTTCCCTTAACTTTTAGCGTACATCAAGTACATCTTGACAGATAACACCTGTTTCATGTAGACTGGATTCAGTCCATGTTTCCAAAAAATTGAAAACGTAATAATGTCATAGTATTGACAATTTGCTACAAGGCAATGGAGACACTTGTAAGAATACAGGAGCTTGTCATCCATGGCCGCAGTACTCCGTACACAAATGTCTCAAAATATTTTATAAAATTTAGATAACTGGCAGCTGCAACTTTCCTCAAGTTTTAATCACCCCAGTTAAATGTTCTCTGACATCTCCCACCTGTTGCTGACCTGCTCACGCTGATAACTCCCTTATCGTACCAATTGCAGCTCAGCAGCTCTAACACTGCAGCTCTTACTGGCCTCATTCCCCCTCCAACCACACACACGTCTCTCCAGTCTTACCACCTGTACACAACACTGATACCTACTGATGTCATATTCCCCCCTTCCCACATCAGCGGTGTAACGATGCAGCTCTCCCCAACCTCATCTCCATCAACTATCCCCAGACTTACCACTACCCCTACCCCCTTCCATGCAATATAACCCACCTGACTACACAACTCTTACCAATCTCATCTCCCCCTTCCCCCACTCATCAGCTGTGTCTCACTGCAGCTCTCACCGACCTCATCTCCATCCACCCCCACACCCCCATCCATACCCCAACCCAACACACCCATACCCCCACACCCTCACCCCCACAACCCGACCACCACACACCCATACCCCCTACAACCCCTCACCCCCACAACCCGACCACCACACACCCACCCATACCCTCACACACCCATACCCCCACACACCCATAACCCAACTATCACACACCCATACCCCCGACCCACACACCCACACCCACCCCACACACCCATACCCTCACCCAACCCCCACACACAAAACCCCACACACCCGTAACCCGACCATCACACACCTATACCCCCACCCCACACACCCATACCTATACCCCACCCCCACACACCCATACCCACACACCCCTTGCCATCCAGGTGTGTTGATCACACTGCAGTTCTCATCTCCACCCCCATCTGTGTACAACACTGATACTCCATCATCTCGACACCCCACTGATCGCATCTATGAATGTATCTGCAGGAACCCCATCAACCACACCTGTCTACACACACCTATACCCTCACCCCCACACACCCATACCCCTACACACCCCTTGCCACCCAGGTGTGTCACACTACAGTTCTCATCTCCACCCCCATCCGTGTACAACACTGATACTCCATCATCTTGACACCCCACTGATCGCATCTATGAATGTATCTGCAGGAACCCCATCAACCACACCTGTCTACACACACCCATCTCAAGCTGCATCATCCACAGTCACTGGATACCATCTCAATGTCTCTTCAACAACAGTCTTCAGTCCCTATTGCAAAGGTCACTTATTCCTGACGTTATTTTCCAAAATTAACCTCCATGTGATGTGTAATTCTATCAACAAACCTTTCATTAAGGGCTCATACACTGTCATACTACCTCTCTGTATGTTCCAACTATCCTAGAGCAAATGTCATGATAGTTTCTTCATGATGTCTGAGAACATCTGTAAATTGCCTCAGCTAAATGAGATATATAAATACCAGATTCTCTTACATCAACAAACTGAGGTAAAGGCAAATCTACATGGCTAAAAGGTTAAAAAACACTGTATCTTGCATCCTCTTCAACACACAAATACAAAGCCGATCATTCAGCAGACACTACACAAGAACTAAGTGGAAACAAATTCCCATGTTTATTGTATGAGGCGACCTCTTACTTTTGTAAGAGTAGTCCAAAGGACTAGTTAAAACCTTATTTCACCAGTCCTCAGAGATTGTAGCTAGTCCTGCTTGAAGAAGATACAAATGGGTCAAAATCACAGCCTAGTCAATGAGGACTACCATCTTTGGATTTCTACTAGTCCTCTGCAGAGTTAAGCAGTCTCAGGCTGGTGTACTAGCATGGATTTCGAAGTATACTGAGTATTAGGGCTGGGACAGGTAACTCGGATATTCAGGTCGGGTGGGTACTGAGCAGGACCCGGGTACCCACAGGACTACCTGGACCTGTGCTTAGTCACGGGATATATCGTTTAATGACAAAACTTATCTAAAACTCAATGGTCACACTACAAGTCACTTATGTTCCCATTTCTTTCTGACTATGCACGCATTCCTTCTGACTTTTATATGTTTGAAAAAAAGATAAAACTTCATGCAGTCAACTTCAGTGTATGCATGACCAGTTCGTTTTACACATGTATCTAAAAACATTTTGCCAGGGCTACGGTCAAACTTTACCCAATCGGACACTTTGTAGCTATCTCTTGAGACCTACAACGGGTACCCGGGTCGGGTCAGGTAATAGCCAGGGCTACGGTCAAACTTTACCCAATCGGACACTTTGCAGCTATCTCTTGAGACCTACAATGGGTACCCGGGTTGGGTCAGGTAATAGCCAGGGCTACGGTCAAACTTTACCCAATTGGACACTTTGTAGCTATCTCTTGAGACCTACAACGGGTACCCGGGTCGGGTCAGGTAATAGCCAGGGCTACGGTTAAACTTTACCCAATCGGACACTTTGCAGCTATCTCTTGAGACCTACAACGGGTACCCGTGTCGGGTCAGGTAATAGCAGGGTGGGTACCCAGGTAGTAAATTTGGACTCGTCCCAGAGTATATACTTTAGTTACTCACAGCATGTGTGGTTGTGTCCCCGTTCAGACTCTGGCAGTACTGGGCAATCAGGTGGTGCTCGTCCTCTCTGTACAACAAATAACAGGAATCAGTGAACACCTCACAACAGACAACACCTTTATTGATGGAATACCTACACAAGTCAGTCTATCCATTCCTATGTTTATGTTGTGTGGAGATAACAGGTCGAAGCCAGAACAACTGGAATCACTTACGGCCGGAATGAAACATTGAGTAGGGATCATAAGTTAGTTGTGTAGGATCAAGTCTGGTTACCTAGCGACAGCTTTGCATGAGCGTGAAGGCAATATTACATTTATACGAGTGCCCTTCACTTATAATCATCCCATACTACAGTACTGAAATAAGCACAGCTAACCTAGACAGTATCTAGCCAGGACTCCGATGGCCAACTTAAATGGCAGTGTGTTACAATGTTTTCAGTACTTTTCAAACTGAACTGACAGTCTTGCATAACACCAATCACATCTACCGTATTCAATGTAATAAGTGCCCAGGGCACTCTAAAACTTAGAAAAAGGGGGCTCTTATTAGAATATTATTTTTGTGAAAAAAAACAGTTGAAAGATCGTACATTTCGTGGTTTATGCTGACAGCCTGAAATGTTTATTTACGACAGATATATTTTTCAAGAATTTAATTGCCCATAATTAAGGGTGCATATAACACACGAGTGCGTATTATACACGAATAAATAAGTCTTGTGTACATTGATCAATCGGAAGGGGTGCTAATTGGGATTGTTCACTAGCCAATATATTAGCAAATATTGCTAATGGTGCTTATTAGAGAGGGTTGCTTATTACGTTGAATACGGTATATAACATAGGCCTCAATACAACAGCACCAATTACCAAGCGAGATAATCTCATAATCATTTGACCAGCGTGCAAATTCAGATTACAAGGCCTTAAAAGACAAGGAAAAACAACTAATTCTCAGAAAATAACCATGGCAACACATCCCAGTCTTCCCCAGCCATTATACCTCAATCCCGTATCAAAAAACAATTATCAAATTGATATTTCCTAAATAGAATATTATAAAATAACCTACAGCTAATCCTAACCCACAAAAAGGGAATTTTTCCGCGACATATACTAAAGCCTGCTACTAAATCAATGGCCTGCTACGTCCTGTGATGATATTACGAGTCGTACATAGATAACCCACATTCAGCTCTGGGAGGAGGACATTACAGGACAAGATAATGGCTGCAGCGTCTGGCAGCAAGATGAACATTAAACCTATACGACCAAAACTGGCACTTAATCCTGCTTTATGATGATAATTTAAGAAAAGCTTAAGTTATAAGCCTATCGTAAGTCCTACAGCCACAGCTGACATCCAGCATTAATATTGCCATGAGCAGGAACACGTCCTGTAGACCTGAAAGATAAACCCTTATTCTTGTATCCAGACATAAACAGCCCAACCGTAAAGGAAAACTAGCAAAAAACAATAAAAACCAACTTAACAACAGAGCTGTATTTAATATAAAGCATATAATAGACAAGGTACATGCAACCTAAAGGTTAGAACAGCTGATGTTAGGAAAGGGTATGAAATAAGCAATAATAAACAACCACCTTCTCATTAAGCAGAGCTGTATTCGATCTATAACATGTGATAGATGTGGTAATGGCAACCCTGACACGGGTAATGTTAGGGAATGGTACGAAATAAGCGAGCAACTTACGACTCGGGAGTGGAGGATGCTTGCCTCTGTTCCACCTCTGCCAATCTGAAGAGAAACCCGCAACGTCAGTGAGCTGGTAATATCTCATACACACACACACTCACAGGTGACTCACTGGGAGACAAGCACCGCCTGGCCATACACACTGACAAACATATATACATATATACAATTACATATTTATCTTTAGAATATCTTATTTGGATATTAGAAATGGTAGAATTTTGAGTGAGTGAGTGAATATGGTTTTACGCCGTTTTTAGCAATATTCCAGCAATATCACGGCGGGGGACACCAGAAATGGGCTTCACACATTGTACCCATGTCGGGAATCGAACCCGGGTCTTCGCCGTGACGAGCGAATGCTTTAACCACTAGGCTACCCGACCGCCCCGGTAGAATTTGAAGGAACCTAGATTTGTTTTAGTTCTTTCATGAAAGATCGATTAATTCAAAATGTTTCGGAATATTTTCAAATCATCTTTTCAGTCATATTTTAAGAACAGGTTGGTATTTTTTTGTTTTTCTGTGAAAGCTTAACAGCTCCTATTCCCTGTTCCTCACAGACTGACGATCAGGCACAATCATGGCAATCCTGGTTTCATTGATTATCAATTCCGGGCAATTTGCAGACAAATTCACCACTTTTCATTTTACATGCAAAATAAAACTACATTCCTCAATGAAAACAGTTAAGTTCACAGTGACCTACCACAAAGCTACCTCCATTAACGTAACCTGGGACAGTGGCCTGTTTCCATCTCGCACTGCAAGAGGAATAAACTCCCCTATTCCCATGTGCTACCTCGCATGCCACAAGAATACTAATCCCATAATATCCTTCCACGACCTGCTCACCTGTTTGCATAGAGCTCCAGCCGAGAGTGCATATCTTGTGAAATACTATGCTGGGGGGAGGGAGAAGGACTGAAATAAACAATCAAATATGTTACCATGGTAACAGCACAATCTCATTGGATAAAAAACCCAGCACGATTCCAAAAAAAGTGAAATTCAATTTTGGCATTGCGCTGCATTATAGGAAAAGGTGTCAATATTGAAAAATCTACTTGGAAATAAAAACATTGCATGAAATTGATTGACATGATTATTAAAAGATGGAAAAAACTGCCTAAAAAGTTAGAGAAATAATATCCAAGGGAGATATAAAGGTTATAGCCTCCACGTTTGTTCATTTGTTGTTTAACGCCACATTCAGCAATATTCCAGCAATATGACGGCAGTCTGTACATTATCCAGTGACTGACATCATGAACATAGATGAATGCAATTGGGATACAATAACATGCACTAAGCAAGTCAAAGGGCCTGACCACCTCATCCTCTTAGTCACCTCTTACAACAAGCATGGGTTGCTGAAGACCCTCATGTTCAACTTAAAAAATATTCTAACTATAAAGTACGACTGTTTTAACATTCTTATCAAAACAACCCTTTCCTCATCTGCAAATTTAAGTTTGTTTATGTCTAACCTGGCCTTTACTTTCACTCAACAAACAAACTGCAAACCAGTAGTAAGACAAGACTGTCAAAGCATCAAACTACGAGACGCCATCATTAAATAAACTTCGACTCCTCATCGCCGCGGAAGTGAAACTTGTCGTCTATCTAATCATGTTGCCCCCATCTCTGTCTTGTAGACTTTAACCATGATGACATAAGCAATGGTTCTTCCTCGGCAAGACAGACAATACAAACACATCACCATGGGACGATTGATTTTAACAGACTAGTGAAATGCAAACACATTTCCACACATAATATTCATAACTATCACACAATCCAAGTCTCCAAGTCCTTCCCTGAGGAAATCTACCACAGAATTACCCCAATTCAAAATATGTCGAATCTCCAAACAGTTACAGGCACCTAGTTACAACATTCAAAGATTGTAGACCAATTTGTCCGATTTTGAATGAAGGATTTCTGAGTAATCAAGTCTTTGTGGACAGATTACAAGATTACTTTAAGACTAGTTTTATCCAATTGTTCCCTGATGGCATTCAAGACAGTCAGATCTTATTCTTCACAGCAAGAATTCCCAATCAGAGAAGAAATCTTAGAGCTTTTTGACAAATAAACTTGTCAGAATGTTGATTATGTAATCACAATTTCCAAATTGTTAATGCCAAAGAACTATTTGTGGGGGATATGAACCATTAGCAGTCTCGATAATTACACAGTGCCACCACTACAGCCAAGCCAAAGGAATTATTTTTAAGAAAAACTGATAAAGGTTCAATATTCCTGCCAATAAAGTTTGAGTCAGGACCACAAATATGTCTTACCTCACCACTGAATATCCAAAAAGCCACTGCATGTAAAATTCAGAAGCATTTTACTGATGGTGAGTAGGGATATTGAATGAAACAAATATGATAGTAACGGTGAAAATTGTGGTTTTATCACTGCGTAGGCCTGTTGATCTGTGTTAATGACAGGATGTGAACAGCTCGCTACAAGACCTATGTGGCCAGGACCTAATTCAGTCTCTGTACACTCATTGCCATTACGGAGAGTATGTTGGGATAGGCTCCAGGCGGTGAAAACATTATTGGACTCTAGGAAGCAGAATGAGTGAGTGAGTTGGGTTTAACGCCACTTTTAACATTATTCCAGTCATATCACAGCGTGTCAGCTTAATGTGGGAGGAAAGCCCGAAGTGATGCCAGTCTCAGACCTTTACCACTTCTGTGTAACCCACGAGCACAGTTATGGTGCTGACAAACCTAGAAACATAATCGGGGCGAACCGGGATTCGAACCCACAATCACAGGTTTCTGGCATACCCAAGGGATGCAACTCTGCACAGCGAATCACAGTGCCTTAGACGACTGGGCCACCCATGGCCCAGGAAGCAGTTTGATAATCCTTCAACATCAACGCCAGAGAATAACCAGTTTGATTATCTGCCGAAACAGATTCCATTGGGTGAAAAAGCTCAAACCACCAGAAATGCTGCTCTTTCAATTTGGAGAAAAAGTAAGAGAAGTGTGAAAATCATAGAAGGAGTTCAAAGAACTGATACCATAAATGTTTTTCTTTCAACATTCCAAGTCCAATAGTAAAGCATTTTAAGACAATTTAATAATTTAGGCACTTCATCATTTGTTAACATGAGCATGTATTTGACAGATGCTGTTTTTTCTTGGATATAGATATTAAGGTGAACTGGTGTTCATCACAATTTAGGACATTTTGTCAAGATGACAAAAGTGAAACAGTTTTAGGTTAATGTTTTTCACACAGTAATGTTTTTTGTTTATGAAAAATATCTGTAATGATAAAAGTTGACCATAGATGTCATAACGAAGAGGCTTGACATAGAGAATCTCACCTGAGTGTCTTTTGATATCAAACATATCAACGAGTGTTGATATATTTGATATTAAAGATATGAGGGTGAGATTTTATTTATCATCAGTTTGTAGACAGTAATGGCTTTTCAAATAACACAATTCTGATACAAAAATGAATTGTGACCAAAGCAAAAAATATATATAAAAAATTGACAAATGAAAACTAGAATGCCATGCTTACCCCTTCAAATTTCCCATGTCAGAGACGTATGCGAGTTCAGCTAGCAATCCAGTGACTTGCTAACAGGTCTGGTACTTTAATGTCTCACACACCATGAACAGTATCTTGCCATCAAATGCAAATAACAAAGTCGACAAAATGAGGCAACCCACGAGTAAGGCAAATACCGGAAGCCTGACAGATTAGGACAGCAATTGGTACAAATCCTTGCTGTCATTCAAAACATCACAAGATAATGGACTGATCGACTGAATTAAGACTTGCCATCTGAAGCATGATGCAACCATGTCCATCTTGGCGGCTATAGAGTGAAGCACGAGAACCACACCACCAAGCCCTGCCCCAATCACTTGTCTGGCCCAATGTGTTATTACATGTGCCTTGGACAAGGCCAGTCGATACACCCGACAGCTGATTACGAAAACACCAGGAGGCTGCAGAATGTAACACTGTCTGATATTTCCTCGGCTCTATCACAGATGTCAGCCGCCCTTGTTCCAATATCAACACACTGGACAACTGACCGATTCCAACATTCCAGATATTGTCATGGCTGGTCACAGCTACTGGACGCAGTTAGGTAATATCAACAAGCGGACTGCGAATCTGCAGAAAGCCATCACTTCAACAGCAGGCTGTGCACCGACAGGCCCGGTCGGAAAAACCCTGTCCAACCTCGTTCAATCAATACCCAAATGAAGTTAAAGTAGCTGTGCTGCGCAGTCGTTATGCTAAGCCAATCAAGGAATCGCAATCTTCAGATGGCCCACATACAATATGAAATCCCAATTGCTGACAAAATAAAATTGGAGCTTATGTAAAAAGATCTGGTCTGTCAAGCACTCCTGAAATGGTTCATGTAAGATGAAAATTGTTTTCTGAAGGGGGTCTTCTGGAGAATATCGACATTCCAAGTCTGATAGAAATAGTTTCCCTGATCGATAGGCTTTTTTGTTCAATCTAATTTTTACACCAGTATCATGTGACTCTAATGTTTTCTTCTGTTTATTTTTCAAGTTTCAGACATGTAAAACCACTTTATGATTTGCCATTTGAATTGATAAATTTCAGAGCTTAAAATCTGGAAGACGAATAGACACTGAAACCCTCCCTCACTTCCTCATTCATAGCAAGTCATGTATGAAATATAAAAAATGACCCACTAACTGTTCAGTCGAAGAGTTTTTATATTGTGTGCACATGCATGTGCATGTGTGTGCATGCACTTCTGTAATAAGCCGAGAAAGTTGTCACAAGCTTTCTCCAGCTAGTTTAGTTCACACTGACAATGTCACCTGCCCTATGCAAACCAGCACAATTTACTTCCTTTGTTATTTGCGAATTTAACAATTTTTTAAAATGTTTATTTATGATATTTTCAGGGAGTAATGACTTGATAGCTGAGAAGATTTATTTCAAGAACCTTCCTTTACAAAACTCTGCATGGAGCCACGGATTATGCCCTTGATGACTTGTGCATCACAGATCAATAATATAATGCCTTGGTTAAAAACTCATACACGCATAATATGCTATTACATGCTAAAGGATCCCAGGTATTGTTTCTAAAGCGGGATAACTTCACATAATAACTTTATACATAAACTCCCTAATAATCACTTATTACAAAGACAGGGTGGTAATACAAATCTTCCCGAGGCAAGGCAGTTAGCTGACTATATAAGTCCAGATTCCACCCTTGCAGAACTAGGCTGGAATTCCTGGGTTCGATTGTAGCGCCACCTGTGGCCATTACGAGTTATGTTCCTTCTATGCCTCTCCTATTGACCAGTCAGATTCCAATTCTCGTATCACTTGCATTTGCTTCAAACAAAATGGCGGCGCCCAGTCAAGATGATCTGATCGATAATCAAGATCTATATTGTGAGAAAACGAGTCTTACATCGCAAAGTGCATCAAATCACGTCAGCACCTTCATTAAAAACATGAAAAGATTTAGAAAATATCTGTTGACAATGAGTTGGGCTGCAATTGATCTGCATGACAGTTTACGTACCGGATTTCAATTTCGTTGCAAGATTTTGATTGGACTATGCATAGACTCGATAGTGCAGCCAAAATATAACTCCATAATACCAGCCTTAAGTTCAGCAAGGGTGGAAACTGGACTGTTATAGTCAGATAACTCCCTTGCTTCGGGAAGATGGGTAATACAAGGCAATGCAAAACAGCTATATTAAAGGTGTTAGGTCTTTTTAATAGGTTGATTCATCATGCATGGTGGTAGTTTTGGATGATTTTTGTTTGTTTGTTGTTTAACACCGCACTCAGCAATATTTCAGCTATATGACAGCGGTCTGTAAATAATCGAGTCTGGACAAGACAATCCTGTGATTGACATCATG